ATAAAATATTATATCATCATATCTGTACAGGCCAATCGACTTGTATTGGTTAATATAAACCAGTGTCTGGCCAATCAGATAGCAGGACTATATTACAAGTAATCTTGAATGTTCAGATTTGAACTTTACAATGTTTCATAATTAAACCAATATTTATTTTGAAAATGATGCAGTGACAAATCTGACCTTTCCAACAATTTCTGAGAATTATTTACCAAACACGCCTTACTTTCATCACTAAAGGTCATGGTAAACTTCAAAACATCTGTCATGATACCTACTTATCGGAGCCGATAGCCCCTGAAATATAAACATCCAGAGGCAAGGCATCCACTGTGGATGGTCCTGTCTATATCATTATGACAGCCATCAACTTCAGGGAGCAGCTCTATACTGCTGAATCAGCACCTCCTAAACACTCATCAGACACCATGTATTGCAGAACCCTGGGAGTAAACTGAAGCTGTATGGGGACCTTTAGTTTGTTTGTTGTCTAATGCCGCAGTCAGCAGTATTCCAGCTATATGGAAATCTGTCTGTAAAAAATCGAGTCTGGATCAGACGAACCAGTGATCAACAGCATGAGCATCAATCTATGCACAATTGTAATATGATGACACGTGTCAACCAAGTCAGTGAGCTAGACCACCTGATCCTGTTAGTCGCCTCTTACGACAAGCATGGGCTGCTGAAGACCAATATTCTAACCCGGACCTTCATGGGTTGGATGGTGACCTGAAAATCTTGTATTGACTGAAGCTTAATCATCTCTTTATTGCTATTCAGGGCCTACATTATGGTAAAAATTCCTCTGTCTTACACAAAAAATTATAAATCCCTGGAACTATTAACAAATCATTTATGTCACGTTAGCATAAGGTTAGGTTACCCTATTCCTGGCCAAATTTGAAGCAGTGGTTACAGCAGAAATTATTCCTATATCATTCCCTCAGATAACAGCACTCATCCGCAATCTGGTGGGACAAACTAATGTCCCACACTCAGACAATGACAACATGCACTCTTCTCCCAGTACAATACTCACAACGTCTTACTACATACGAGAAAGGACTTGTAATCTACCAACACACATTTAGTTCTGCCCTCACTAAAGGCTGCATTACATGTTGGAGCAGACAGCTGCAATACAGGAGGAAGGCAAATATCACATGGCTAATAAAGTACCTGTAATGTCTGGAGAGAGACTACACAGTCCCACCAGTGTATTCTGGGCTACAACCAGACTCAGCTTGGTAGGTTTAGTACTGGGAACGAACCAGTAGTTTTCGTCAGCAGCTTGCTTTCATTAAGACACAAGGGGAACTAAACTGGTACAGGATTAAGACCTCAGTAGATGTGATGTCATATGAATAAAAACAATCTATGTAGTTCATGTAAAAATGTGTAAGTTGTGAGATAATTTGATGTTGAAATTACTTCTTCCTGTGAGGTAGATTCCTTACTTAATTAGTGCTTTTGAAGGATGCCTAAAGTATGCTTTAATCTGTTCTATATTGGTGTACCAAGTCAAAACCACATGTAAATCATCTCCATGTCGGAACAGTGTCATTCCCACAGCACAACAGTACATCTTCTCAATGTCATACCCACAGTACTGTAGTACATCTCCTCCATGTCATACCCACAGCACTATAGTACATCTCCTCCATGTCATACCCACAGCACTACAGTACATCTCCTCCATGTCATACCCACAGCACTATAGTACATCTCCTCCATGTCATACCCACAGCACTACAGTACATCTCCTCCATGTCATACCCACAGCACTACAGTACATCTCCTCCATGTCATACCCACAGCACTACAGTACATCTCCTCCATGTCATACAGCCACAGCACATGTCATACCCACAGTACATCTCCTCCATGTCATACCCACAGCACTACAGTACATCTCCTCCATGTCATACCCACAGCACTACAGTACATCTCCTCCATGTCATACCCACAGCACTACTACTAGTACATCTCCTCCATGTCATACCCACAGCACTATAGTACAGTCCATGTCTACCCACAGCCATGTCATACCCACAGCACTACAGTACAGTACATCTCTCCTCCATGTCATACCCACAGCACTACAGTACATCTCCTCCATGTCATACCCACAGCACTACAGTACATCTCCTCCATGTCATACCCACAGCACTATAGTACATCTCCTCCATGTCATACCCACAGCACTACAGTACATCTCCTCCATGTCATACCCACAGCACTATAGTACATCTCCTCCATGTCATACCCACAGCACTACAGTACATATAGTATACATTTCCTCCATGTCATACCCACAGCACCACAGTACATCTCCTCCATGTCATACCCACAGCACTACAGTACATCTCCTCCATGTCATACCCACAGCACTATAGTACATCTCCTCCATGTCATACCCACAGCACTATAGTACATCTCCTCCATGTCATACCCACAGCACTACAGTACATCTCCTCCATGTCATACCCACAGCACTATAGTACATCTCCTCCATGTCATACCCACAGCACTACAGTACATCTCCTCCATGTCATACCCACAGCACTATAGTACATCTCCTCCATGTCATACCCACAGCACTACAGTACATCTCCTCCATGTCATACCCACAGCACTACAGTACATCTCCTCCATGTACATACCCACAGCACTACAGTACATCTCCTCCATGTCATACCCACAGCACTATAGTACATCTCCTCCATGTCATACCCACAGCACTACAGTACATCTCCTCCATGTCATACCCACAGCACTACAGTACATCTCCTCCATGTCATCCCCACAGCACTACCATACCCACAGCACTATAGTACATGTCATACCCACAGCACTATAGTACATCTCCATGTCATACCCACAGCACTATAGTACATCTCCTCCATGTCATACCCACAGCACTATAGTACATCTCCTCCATGTCATACCCACAGCACTACAGTACATCTCCTCCATGTCATACCCACAGCACTATAGTACATCTCCTCCATGTCATACCCACAGCACTACAGTACATCTCCTCCATGTCATACCCACAGCACTACAGTACATCTCCTCCATGTCATACCCACAGCAGCACTAGTCATACCTCCTACAGTACATCCTCCATGTCATACCCACAGCACTACAGTACATCTCCTCCATGTCATACCCACAGCACTACAGTACATCTCCTCCATGTCATACCCACAGCACCACAGTACATCTCCTCCATGTCATACCCACAGCACCACAGTACATCTCCTCCATGTCATACCACACAGCATCTCCTCCATGTCAGTACCCATCAGTCCTCCATGTCATACCCACAGCACTACAGTACATCTCCATGTCATACCCACAGCAGTACATCTCCTCCATGTCATACCCCACAGCACTACAGTACATCCTCCATGTCATACCCACAGCACTACAGTACATCTCCTCCATGTCATACCTCCTCCATGCACCACAGTACATCTCCTCCATGTCATACCCACAGCACTCTCCAGTACATCTCCTCCATGTCATACCCACAGCACTATAGTACATCTCCTCCATGTCATACCCACAGCACTATAGTACATCTCCTCCATGTCATACCCACAGCACTACAGTACATCTCCTCCATGTCATACCCACAGCACTATAGTACATCTCCTCCATGTCATACCCACAGCACTACAGTACATCTCCTCCATGTCATACCCACAGCACTACAGTACATCTCCTCCATGTCATACCCACAGCACTAGAGAGTACATCTCCTCCATGTCATATTCACAGTACATCTCCTCCATGTCATACCCACAGCACTAGTAGTACATCTCCTCCATGTCATACCAGCACAGTACATCTCCTCTCCATGTCATACCCACAGCACTATGTACATCTCCATCCATCATACCCACAGCACTACAGTACATCTCCTCCATGTCATACCCACAGCACCACAGTACATCTCCTCCATGTCATACCCACAGCACCATAGTCATCTCCTCCATGTCATCTCCTCCATGTCATCCACCCACAGCACTACAGTACATCTCCTCCATGTCATACCCACAGCACTACAGTACATCTCCTCCATGTCACATACTCACATGTCTCCATGTCATACCCATCTCCTCCATGTCCATACCCACAGCTCCATAGTACATCTCTCCTCCATGTCATACCCACAGCACTACAGTACATCTCCTCCATGTCATACCACAGCACTGAGTATATCTCCCTCCATGTCATGTCTACAGTGTCCTCCATGTCATACCCACAGCACTACAGTACATCTCCTCCATGTCATACTCCACAGCACTATAGTCTCATCTCCTCCATGTCATACCCACAGCACTGTCAGTATATCTCCTCCATGTCATACCCACAGCACTACAGTACATCTCCTCCATGTCATACCCACAGCACTACAGTACATCTCCATGTCATACCCACAGCACTACAGTACATCTCCTCCATGTCATACCCAGCACATACACCATAGTCCGTCCTCCATGTCATACCCACAGCACTACAGTACATCTCCTCCATGTCATACCCACAGCACTATAGTACATCTCCTCCATGTCATACCCACAGCACTATAGTACATCTCCTCCATGTCATACCCACAGCACTATAGTACATCTCCTCCATGTCATACCACTACAGTACATCTCCTCCATGACATACCCACAGCACTATAGTACATCTCCTCCATGTCATACCCACAGCACTACAGTACATCTCCTCCATGTCATACCCACAGCACTACAGTACATCTCCTCCATGTCATTAGTTATAATGGAGAAAACAAAATTCAGACTACATACAGACTCATGGCACCCATTTTTTGTCATCTCAACCGAGATTTTAGATATTTTACAGCTGCTTCCATCAGTCTCCACATACAGCTGGGCTATATGACTGACTGACACTGTCAGTGTCCTCTGTAACTTTAATCCTGTTTGAGGACAGGCTGACTCGCACTGTGCTCTCACCTCAAGCTCCTTCAGTATGCCATCTCTTCCACCCGGACACGAACTCAGCAAACATCGTTTCCTGCCCTCTGGTTTGTCTGCATCTCGGCACTCCGAGTCTGGCACTGTAGTGGGTTGCTCCCCATCAGAGTCCCGCTGGCAATACACACGCCGGGTCTGGTATCCATAGCCACAGGTCACACCACACTGGAACAAAACAACATAAATACTGATAAATACATACAACTATAAAAAGACATTAAAGTTATGACCGGAATAGGTGCAGGGTTAATATAAGCTGAATAATCTTCACTAAATGTATCAAGGTCAGCAACTGGTTTGATTGTATATCATCATTTATTATTTTTCTTGGTTCTTTAATGCCTCTGTGAGCAACTTTCAAGCTACATGAAAAAACAATCGTGTCTAGTACAGACAATCCAGTGATCAACATGATGAGCATCAATCTATGCAATTGTTTTACGATGACATGTGTCAGTCAAGTCAGCAAGCCTGATCACCCAATCCTGTTAGTCACCTCTTGAGACAAGCATGGGTTACTGAAGATCAATTCTAACCCAGATCTTTATGGGAAAGGAATCTTACATACAATGACCTGTGTTAACCAAGTCATCCAATCCCCTATGTCACTGAAGACCAATTCCAACCCGGATCTTCACGTGTTTGTGATCATGTCCTGATGACGTGTGGAGGTGCTCACTGGTTTGTCAGGTCACGTTTATACATATCATTATTCAGGCTGACATGATACAATTGGAGTACTGCTGAATGGGGTATACAACAAACAAAACATACATGTCGAGATTTACCCACCTCATTCCATGCCCCCGTGGCCCATCTGGGACAACCGCTCTCTCCTTCACACACTCGCTTGTACTTGGGCTTCTCCCCTAGGTACCTCAGACAGATGTCATCAGACACGAAGATGGTTTGTCCCATGGTGCCCTTCTCCTGACAGTAGGCCAGCTGGGTCTGTTCCCCCACCCCACAGCTGATGGAACACTCGTCCCAGTGGCCCAACACCCAGCTGGAACACACAGTCACATATCTGTACAGTCACTTTGTGGTAACAAACACCAGATGAGGGCAATAAAGACAGATGAGTGACTTCATGGATCTACATACAGCAGTTTCCCTTGAGAGTGTTTGTGTGGAAAGGAAACCATGCATGTTGCCAGCTTATTATCTACGGTAATTTAATACTATTCCAGTTGCATCATGGCAGTTTGTGTCAGCTGTTTGAACCCATGAGCACTGGGGGGCTGTGGGGTAGCCTAGTGGTTAAAATGTTCGATCCTCACGCTGAAGACCTGGGTTCGATTCCCCACATGGGTACAATGTGTGAAGCCCATTTCTGGTATTCACCGCGTGATATTGTTGGAATATTGCTAAGCAAGTGGTGTAAAAACCATACTCCCTCACTCACTCATGAGCACTGGGCTATGTGCTGACAACCTAGAAATATAATCAGGGCAAAACAGGATTCAAACCACGTCATAGGCTTCTGGTGCACCAAGGGATGCAACTCTACACAGCAAACTGCTGACAACTGGGCCACCTATGACCCATTTAGACAATGAACCTTTCAGCAGAACAAATTAACATGTCTTGAACATTTCTTTCCCATTTATAACATCATACATCACAGGTTGGTGCGGTAGCCTAGTAGTTAAAGCATTCTCTTGTCACGCCGAAGACCCAGGTTCAATTCCCGACATGGGTACAATGTGTGTAGTCCATTTCTAGTGTCCCTGGCTGTGATGTTGCTGGAATATTGCTAAAAGCAGCGTGGAACTAAATTCACTCACTCAGTGTTACAAAAGTTAGCAACATGTTTTACATCTTGTTCATAGGATAATCGAGTTTCGCCAGTCACCTGTATCCATTTGTCCTGTCTTCAGCACACGACCCCATGTTGCAGGTTTGGTTAGCACGGGGTCGCTCGAGTAGATCACATGACCTAGTGTGGACCGTCTGCCCTGACTGTCGATCCATGCATGACACAGCTCTGAGTTGATACCCTGTAAACAGGCATTCGTGACTTCACCAAGTATTATGTCCTTCAGCGTGTTCACAAGGTACACTTAAAGATAATACATGTCTTTCCCTAACTCCTGTTTTTCCAAATTTTGATAGAAAAATCCCAAATTCCATTCAAATTGAAAATGAACCCCAATTAGGTTTTTGAGCTTCAGCAGTAAGGGCTAGGCAGAAAGGAAACTAATATTGTTGAGGGATTGTGGTTTGGTTTGGTTGTTGTTTAATGTCACAATATTCCAGCTATATGGCGGTAGTCTGTAAATAATCGAGTCTGGACCAGACAATCCAGTGATCAACAGCATGAGCATCGATGTACGTAATTGGGATACGATGACATGTGTCAACCAAGTCAGCGAGCCTGACCACCCGATGTTAGTCGCCTCTTACAACAAGCATGGGTTACGGAAGTTCAATTCTAACCTGGATCGACACAGATTAGGGTATCCTACAGCCTACTAGAAAAATGCTTAGTCTCTGAATATATATAATTTTGATAGTAACAAACAAGCCCATTTAAATTGAAAGGGAGACCAGAGATTCCTGAACTTGAGGAAATCTAGACTTGCTTTATTTAGGGCTTTAGCACTGCAGGGAGGCTTGGCATTAGGGAAAATAATGTGGTTCAGGGACTGTGAGACAGACTAACAGCCTACCTGAGCCACACTCTTCTGAGCACCTTGTCCAGTGTCCATACACCCATGTGAACCTGTCAGTGGGATTGGCCTTATCTACCAGAGACTGTGGACTTGAGTATTCATACTTTATACCCGGATTTCCATCTCTTGCAACAAGCTGGAGAAGAAGAAGACAACCAGTTAAGACAGGATGTCATACTATATCATCTGCTGAGGTGAGGTGAGGTGAGGTGAAAAGGAGCTTAACGTCACACTTAAGAATATTTCGCTCATATGACGACCTGCATGCATGTGTATGTATGGCTGCTTGTACTATCCCAGACTTAAGCTGGTTTGATAGTGCCAGCTCACTGAGATACCATGCTGCAGTTGAGCATAAATAGCCCACTCAAAAACATGATACTGACTCTGAACCGACCAGCCCTTTTTGTACCCAATAATGCCGAGCACAAGGCAGGAACCAACAAGTACCATATTTTAACGTCTTTTGGTTTAACGCTGAAATCTGCTGAAATGCGATGGAACAGACTAGCATATGACTCACCATGACAATAAGAGTCTCATTTGTAGGACCTCTTGAAAGGATTGACTCCACTTTGTCGTCCTTATTCTCAGCACTGTAGTACTGGAAGATGGTCCCTGCAAAAGCTTTCTGGGATGTCTGGTCTCGGCCACCATTGATGTAGTACATTCCTTTAGAATTCTTCAGGGCTGGTGCAAAGGGTTGTATTTTATAAATCATGAACTGAACATTATCACAAACTGAATATTTACATATTTCTATTAATATTTCTGACATTATTTTGGCAGTGATGCTGATGCTATTGAATTGGATGCAGAAGAGAAGAGAGACAGTTAGCATAGATTAGATTAATAGATTTGCCAAATATGTATAACATTTGATTCAGAAAATACATATTTATAAAACAGGTACATCCTGGAAGTCAAACTCACACAGCAAAAACGCATCAAGGGAGACAACTCTGCATAGACGATTTTAAATTGTCAGAAAATGATGACTAGCTATAGTTCACGTAAACTAAGATGTCTCCCATTTCAATAGCAATAACACTTTCTATTTTAAAGATATAATTAAAGACTTGATATACTGTACAGGATGGAGAGTTTCACCAAAACCATCATGGGACATGTAGCTACCTAGGTAAGAATAGCTTGGTTTCATCTCTTTGATTGCGATGCTTGTGGACCCCTCTGGAATGGTGAGGATCTCATGGTAGCCTGAAACATACATGCATTTAGTCTGCTGATTGAAAACATCATTTTGCAAACAAAATGTAAAGAAGAAGCCATATAAAAATGACTTGATACCAATCAGGGCCCTGTTTCACAAAGCTCTCGTAGCGCTAAGACTATCGTAAGTCAATGTTACAGTATAGGAGGTAAGAATGCTATGAGGAAAGGTACGAGATCTTAGGCTTACAAGGCCTTTGTGAAACGGGGCCCAGGACCAAAGTAATTACAGTGGTAAATTTCTACATCAGCCCTTTGGCGATCTGGCCTAAATTATACTGAGGTCAAACCTCTTTCAAAACTTGGTCAAAGCATATTTTAGGGATCGGCCTAAATTATACTGAGGTCAAACCTCTTTCAAACCTTGGTCAAAGCGTATTTTAGGGATCGACCTAAATTATACTGATGTCAAACTTCTTTCACAACTAAATATATTTAAAAGAGAATGATATGTGAAAATATGAAATATTTGAAATGCAGTGAGGTTTTCATTCAGATGAGAAACATGGCAACTAATTACCATCCCAACACCCTATCCCACCAATTACTGTTGCTATCAAAATGAAGAAATTGTATTTAATAATTTATATATAATACCATAAATAACACCTCTTGTAAATGTGTCTTTGAATCTCGGAACATAACTAATTATGATGAATAGTCAGGGGAAATAAATAACTTATTTGATATCAAATTAATTTTTCAAACTTAAACCTGAACATTAGAGCCAATAATCCACAAATAAAACCAAACACATCTGGCCTAAAACCCCTTAATATAACTGCAATCAACTTAACAAGACTCACACCCCCTGTTCCTGACAAGATGTATTGGCTTAAATGTGATGAAGGGGAGGTAATAAAAGATGGTTTCCCACTTCAACAGATTGACTGGTCCTGCATTGCTGCCAGTTTACTAAAAGACATGTTTCTACTGGCACCATTTAAATATATTTTTAAATGACATGAAATGAAGTCATGTCATATCATTTATATCATTAATAAGGCGGTAAGAGAAATGATGCAACATGTTGCTGGTTGATCTTACCTACATTTAGATTATCCTGTGTGAAGGCCCCCTTCTCCGTGAGGCACGCACTGCCATCCCCTCCGCACACACGGCACCGGTCCTCATCCATCACCGAGCCAATCACACGGTCACACCCAACAGTCTGCCGCAGACGTAGCACAGGTCAGTACAATTACAATCATACAGTCAGCAATATCTTCTATCAGCAACAGGAACAGGGTACAGAGCAAAAAGTGTTTGTTGGTGTTTTGGTTCAAAATCTGTCAGCAAAGATCGAACACTGAATACCAACAATTGATTCTGTAGCTCTTGTGTTTCAAAACAACTGTTTACTGAGTAAGACACACTCCGGTGCAGTGATGACTTAGCATAACATCACTGCCACAGGCTAATTTGCATATCACGTGACCAGACTTTTCTCTTGTTTGTAAACAAGCGCGCATATTCATTATACAAAGGGACTGGTCTTAGGAAAGCTTTTCGGCGCGCTCTTCACAATGTTTTACATTGTTCCATATATATTCTTCCACAACTGCGACAGTAACATTTATGACAGTACATATTTAGATATCAAACTGGTTGCATCGTTTGCTCTCCGTCGGCTTCGATGACAGCACGTGGAGCCGTACAACCTATGTAAACAAAGGATCGCTACGCAAATCGAAATAGTGTTACATGTTTTAGGATATTTTCTGAGTGAAACTAAACCATTCTATCAAAGATGTTTAATTAGATGTGTAGACTCGTCAAAAATAAAAGAGTTAAGAAATATGTAGATTATATTGAATGGACGGTGCAAGATGTGACGAATCGTCACATCTTTCTGGCCTGTGGCAGAGATACTATGCTGGCTTGCCGCATGGAACTCTGGGTAGGAGAGTGTGAATAAGAATGATGCATTTTCACATAAAGAGGGCCTTTTTTTCTCTTTTTCTTTTATTTACCATTTTGTCACTTGTTTATAGGTAGAGTACATGTGGTCAATGCATGACATTGATAGGTACAATTGTGCTGACATACAAGAATACAAACGCAATCAATGATATTTCTATAGAAAAAAGTGTTTGTGCATCCGGTGCAGCATATGTATATGTATGTGTATGTACGTATGTGTGTGTGTATGTGTATATATGAGCATGTATGTATGTATGAGTGCGTGTATGTATGTATGTGTGCATGTGTGCTGTCATATGTATGTGCGTGCATATGTATGTGCGTGCATATGTATGTATGTATGTATGTATGTATGTATGTATGGTATGTATGGTATGTATGTATGTATGTATGTATGTATGTATGTATGTATGTATGTATGTATGTATGTATGTATGTATGTATGTATGTATGTGTATGTATGTATGTATGTATGTATGTATGTATGTATGTATGTATGTATGTATGTATGTATGTATGTATGTATGCATGCATGCATGCATGCATGTATGGCTATGTGTGTCCGTATGTAGATACATATGTATGTACAGGGGGTATATGCATTCAATTTGTATCTATATGAAATAAGGATGACAGAAAAAATCATTCATCCCTCTCCTTATAGTGCTGGAAAAGTGTATGTAGAGATGACCAAAAGGAGAAATATTTGTCAACACCACAAGAGGAGGAATAAACATATTTTGTAATGTCATAATACTTAATTACCTCCCTTTTCACACGACTGATAAAGGGTACAATTGAATTTCTGCTGTGTCTGAAGATAACTTGCTTCACAACAAGTATTATGGAATTAATTGGATTATTATTTTTTCCTTTAATTCCAAGTAAAACATTCTGTTTTGTGAAATATAATGAAATATTCAAGTCAGTTAAGAGCCATGACTGGAGGTTTTTCCAGATATCTTGAACAATTTCACAGTCCCAAAATAGATGGGTAATTGATTCAATGTTATCTTTACAGAAACTACAAATGGGAGAGTCTATATACTTGATCTTAAACAAAAACTGTTTTGTAGGTGGAATATTATGGATAATTCTGTATTGTAACCATCTTAGATCAGTGCTATAGGTGCACTTCCATGGGATAATATTAAATATTTCCCAGTCCTTTGGTAGGAGACTTAGATTCAGGCTATCCCAGTTTTTATTATAGTGTTCTGTTTTAAATTTAGAGCATAGGCGTGTTTCATAGAAATATTTGCTACCTTTTTCACTGAATTTTAGCTTAGACAAATTAAAAGGGCCCTGTTCCTCAAAGCAATCGTAGCGCTACAACAGTCATAAGTCTATGTTAGAGAAAGGGAGTTACGATCAACTTAGCGCTACGATCGCTTTGAGGAATGGGGCCCAGGATATTACCTTTTGTTAAAATACCAGTAACATGCAATATGCAATAATAATAACATATATTGCGCTAGCCTCCTGATGCAAGTGTATGCTCAAAGAGCTAATTTTATTACCTTGGTCAATGGAATAGTCTACTAAAACCCAAATTGCCTGCCAGACACAAGAAAGTGAACAGTCATCTATCTCATAACAGTTACCCATAATCCCACCGGGTACCCATTCACTGCTGGGTGAACTGAGGCATAGTATGGACAAAGTCACTTGCCTGAGGTGAGATCACATGTTACATGTGTCTTGTTGTGGAGCAGGACTGAAGTCTGACAAACATTCAGGGGGCAAGCTGCCAGACAGGTCACCCATATTTTACTGCAGCATAATCTCCCAGTGGTCAATGACTGGCACACTGGGGTAGCCTTGTGGTATTTGCATTTGTTCGTCATGCAGAAGCCCCAGGTTCGATTCCTCACATGACTGAAGTCTGCATCCCCCACCATTCTATTGCTGGAATATTGCTAAAATTGGCGTAAAACTATATTCACTCACTCATTCCCTCCTTCCCCCACTTACTCACTCACAATCCACCCACCCAACCACTCACTCTGGTAAATGGTGTAATAATGATAATAATAATAAATGGATATTTCTTGTGTGCCATAGTCCATCCAGAGCATGCTCAAAGTGCTACATATAAAAGAGTCACTAGAGTTTATGAGGAAAGTAAGACAGTTCGTCGAAATGACCATGAGAAATGTAATGAATGGAGGCGGTTCCCCTCCCAGTTGAGCTCACCTGGCAGACTCCCCCGACACAGATGCCGAAGTGTTCTGGACTGTCACACTGCGTTCCGTCTGTCACCATCTCCTCCAGGTCACGCACCACCGATGTGCCCAACGCATGACACTTCAGAGAACAGCGGTTCTTCTCATCTGGAGAGAAGTAAAGTCTAATCAGGACCCATCACTTTAGATACCAATCCTGTCACATCATAAATTAGAGCATGAATGATGCGTGAAACTTGAGTTCTAAAAGCCAGACCTCCATACTAGATGCCGTGATGAATAATTAAAAAACAAAGAATGAATGGCAACATTCTACCAAAGAAATTATCAAAAGATTTCTTTTCAGAGTGAGTGAGTGAGTGAGTGAGTGAGGTGAGGTGGGTGGGTGAGTGAGTGAGTGGGTGGGTGAGTGAGTGAGTGAGTGAGTGAGTGAGTGAGTGAGTGAGTGAGTGAGTGAGTGGTGGGTGTGAGTGAGTGAGTGGGTGGGTTTGAGTGAGTGAGTGAGTACCCGTCTGTGTGCATGTGTGTGTCTGTGTGTGCGTGTCAGAAAAGTATGCTGCAAAACCAATCCCATCAGCCACTTGTGCCATGGAAAAAGGTACAAGATTTTGAAATTAAATATACACATTTCATTTAAAACAATTTACAACAATTTCTTCAAGATTTCTGTTTCATTTCAAACAGAGGTGGGATACAGTCTGTAGAGTGGGGTGCACATGGCATATATTGAAGCTGCTGTTCTCCTTACCAAAGTGAGGCACCCAGTCGTATTTCCTAGCGTAACCGTTCAGGATCATTGGGAGCTGGTTAAACTTGGCACACTGCATGCTACGAAAGTCTTCAGAATCCCGTGGGCATGGCTGAATATAGACACATACCATCATACTTGCAAACACTGACAATGCTGTATATAGACTGGTTAATTGTAGATATAAAACACTGACAATGCTGTATATAGACTGGTTAATGTAATTGTAGATATAAAACACTGGACAATCAAACAAAGGCCTGACTAGAACCACTTAAAAGTGAATGGATGAAACTAGAATTAGGTCAGAGTCATTGAAAGGTGAAGAAGAATGTTCTCAATATATACTACTGCTTTGTATATTCACTCGACCCGTGAAGGTTCGGGTTAGAATATTGGCCTTCAGTAACCCATGCTTGTCGTAAGAGGCGACTAACGGGATCGAGTGGTCAGGCTCGCTGACTTGGTTGACACGTCATCGGTTCCCAATTGCGCAGATCGATGCTCATGCTGTTGATCACTGGATTGTCTGGACCAGACTCGATTATTTACAGACCGCCGCCATATAGCTGGAATATTGCTGAATGAAACTAAACTCACTCACTCACTTGTATATTCACTGGACATGTACTGTCTTACATGGCAAAAGGCTAGATTTTACTACTGCTTCAATCACTCAAACCACACACTATTTCATCCATTCAGTCAGCCAGTCAGCAGTAGCAATGTTGTAAATCAGTCACTTACATCTGTGCTGCAGGAAGAATATTCATGGTCTGGACCAACACATCCCATGCCCTTACCAGAGCTGAAATACAAAGGTCATTGTCAGATTCACAGAACTCACCCAGTGAAAATGAGCACATGATTATGACATAACCAGCAGAAACATACACTGGTGTTTCTACCCACACAGTGAGACTTGTCACTTAACAGTTTAGAGATCAAAAGTCTTGCCAGATTTCAGTTGGATATTTGGAAAAGATAAGAATTTGTTTGTACCTAGGATTCTCTGCAGGGTGCAACAAAAAAGTTATAGCATCCTTACAGCAAATGGGCGAGTGAGTGAGTTTAGTTTTACGCCACACTCAGCAATATTCCAGCTTTATGGCGGCGGTTTGTAAACGATCGAGTCTGGACCAAACAATCCAGTGATCAACAGCATGAGCATTAATCTGCGCAATTGGGAACCGATGACATGTGTCAACGAAGTCCAGGAGCCTGACCACCCAATCCCGTTAGTCGCCTCTTAACGACAAGCATTAGGGTTGCTGAAGACCAATTCTAACTCGGACCTTTACGGGTATTACAGGAAATGAAATTATTGTATTCATGGACATTTAGAACTACATGGGCCACAACTGAATGTCTCACTGAGTGTAGTATAATAGGGCTGTAATGATGGATTGCAATTGTTGAGTGTCTGATAGCAATTAATCGATCGATGCATTGATAGTATGTACGACTATCGATAGTTTAGTAATTGATTTCCGCTGACAAATATTTATGTTGTTTTGTATATTTTTACTGTTTGGGTGCAGACTTGCAGCTTCATTGAGTTTATGCTTTAACTGTTTACTTAATCTGTATTCAAGTTTCAAGTTTCAAAGAGAAAAATAACTATTGCAATAGTTGGTCACAATAGACTATCGCTATCTCTATGGCAATAGCATGTTGCAATAGACTATCGCTATGGCAATAGTTGTTTTCCCACATTAGTCACCCCTAATAATAGTTGTCTGTTCTCTAACCTTGGACCCGTGAAGGTCCAGGTTAGAATATTAATCTTCAGTAACCCATCCTTGTCGTAAGAGGCGACTAACGGGATCGGGTGATCAGGCTTGCTGACTTGGTTGACACATGTCATCGGTTCCCAATTGTGCAGATCAATGCTCATGCTGTTAATCACTGGATTGTCTGGTCTAAATCCAATTATTTACAGACCGCTGCCATACTAGCTGGAATATTGCTGAGTGTGGCGTAAAACTAAACTCACTCACTCACTGTAACCTTGGCTACAGATGCAGGGTTAGCATGCTTCTTATCACATTGCTTCAGGTGGAAACTGTGGCACTGCCTGGTACATCTTTGAGTTTCAAACATTACAGTCCATGGTTTAAATTGAGTTAATTTTAAAATTCATCATCTGTCCTGAAAGGTTATTTGACCTGTGACCATACATGTATATGAGTACATTTAATAATTCAACTCTACCCATGTCACCACCAACATAACCTCAGTTTGTTTAAAACAGAATATACAAAACTAACAGCACCATTCTGCATAATGTGATAAAACAAGATTAATTAATGAAACTTTATCAAATATACAAACATGTATGTTTGGTAATCAAATTGAAGAACATACATTGAATTAACTACCCTGCTCAGTTGTTTAGCCAATGCAAGAATTGAAAAAACAAATTCCCAGTTGATGTTGCAACAGTTCTAATAACAAATGCAAGGGCTTTGCTGGGCTGACTTGTATTTCACTGATACCAAATAGGAGGATCAAAGTGTTCTTAAGGCTTAGTTGGACACTGTGTCACTGAAATCTTATGAATGAACCTTAAGAAGGAATAATCCTTGACACATGAGAAGAGTTCATGTAACTCTGGAGATTTTAATCCTAAATAAATATTGACATGAAAGGTGTGCCATTGCCTGTGTGCCTCTGCATCAAGACGTGATATAAAAACTGTTTGAAGTGGTAGTAAAATCTATATAAGCTAAAGCTAGATATATACATGGCCATGAACCAAATTCATACTGAAGCTTCACAGTTGTCTTGGAAAACAATCTAGTTTCATCACATACGTTATTATTTCACAATAATGTAGTGTATAATAAAGACTAGTTATTGATGGGACATTTAATTCAAAGTAAAGGGTTACGTTTGGTTGGTTCGTTGTTTGCTTGGTTGAGTGAATGATTTAAAAGTGAGAGTGAGTGTGGTTTTAGGTCGCTTTTAGCAATATCCATTTTCGGGACACCAGAAATGGGTTTCACGGAGGATGCCCATGTAGAGAATCGAACCCGGGTCTTCGGAGTGACGTGCGAACACTATAACTACTTGGCTCCCCAACGCCTACATTATGTTGAAACGAGATTTCAGTAAGTGAACATCAAGGAACTGCATTTAATGAAAGAAAGACGTTAAAAAAGACGACATAACGTCACATTACATGTGTAACATGTGCCCGTACCCCTTGTGTATGCAGCCCCGCGTGCGCGACTGGACGCCTCCACCGCAGGACCTGGAGCAGGGGAGAAGTCACTCCACTGGTCCCACATGCCGTCACCCTGCAAATATAACACACACGGGAAGACATTAATAAAATCGTAAATGTCATTGATATTTTCTGCATTTCCTGTTGCTTCTACGTCTCTGGTGTTGAGCCAGACGAACCGGAAATACATGTATGACAAAGGTTTATGGGATACCCCGAATGCGTCGCGGGTGGCCGTATCTGTTTCACGTAGATATAATAGAGGTGGGCCGTGTTTAACGCCGCTTTGAGTGAGTGAGTGAGTGAGTGAGTTTAGTTTTACGCCACACTCAGCAATATTCCAGCTATATGGCGGCGGTCTGTAAATAATAGAGGCTGGACCAGACAATCCAGTGATCAACAGAATGAGTGAGCATCGATGTGCGCAATTGTAGAGTGAGTGAGTATGGTTTTACATCGCTTTTAGTAATCCAGGAACGTATGTACAATCGAACCCGGGTCTTCGGCGTGACGAGACAAAGCTTTAACCACAGTGGTAACCCAATGCCCCATGAACAGCATTTCAGCTATATCGAGGTGCGATAAAACCCCGACGTGATGCAGGTCCCAGACGTTTAACGCTTTGGGGAAACCCGAGAACATTGGTATGGCACAGACAAACCCAGCAATATAACCGACATCAACCAGTCAAATGGTTCCGGTATGCCCAAGGGACGCAACTCTTGCACGGCGCCATGAGACACCTGAGACAACTGACCATCCGTGTCCCCGAAAGTAAGGGCGTAAAAATGCACACCCAAACACACACCCTCCCCACAAAGCAAAACCAAACAAATCAATTTAACAGTTCTTCCAAACACTCTAGTCCCGCTAATCAATGGGAAGGAAATCTTGCAGTTTACAATGTTTTTCTTCCTGGGATTCTCCACGTTTTGTCAATATCAGCTTCATCAATTGAGAAAAACTAATCATATTGGATAGCGGCGGTGGGGTAGCCTAGTGGTTAAAGCGTTCGCTCGTCACGCCGAAGGTCCGGGTTCGATTCCCCACATGAGCACAATGTGTGAAACCCATTTCTGTTATCTACCGCCGTGATATTGCTGAAATATTGCTAAAAGTGACGTAAAACTAAACTCACTCACTCACTATTCATTGGACAGTAAAGAGGAGCCAAGCGATGAGAAAATAAACCTAGTAAACCTACCAAATGGTTTAACTAATTGTTGCATGCATGATTGCAAGTCTTGTGAGTGTCTGGTCAACTGAACTGTACTGAGTGGCTTTACTTATTCTCTTTATCGGATACATAGGTTATAAATATAATGTAAACTTCTTCTGTGCTGTTATTTAAAAACTGTTCTCTTATAACACTGTTGTTCTAGAAATAAACGAAGCGGTGTACCGATTGGCATTTTCAGCTGTTCAAGTATTTCTTTCCTGACAAGGTCAACGTTGAAAGCAAATCTTTTAATGAAACAAATCATTAAAAACGAGAGGCATAAACGTCCAGAATAGAGCGCCCTGTGTTTTCATAAGTACTCAGTTTGGTCCTGAGTTTTAAAGAAAAAGACACGAAAACGTAAAATATCTACCTCTATGAAGTTTTAATAAATGTGAAAGTTTGTTTTAGGTTTTGAACAGGAAAAATAAGTAGGCTACATGAAAGATCAATGTTAAATTTCCTTTATTCCTATTTAACAGCACAGGTATCTGAGTGAGTGAGTATGGTTTTACCCCGCTTTTAGCAACATTCCAGCAATATCACGGCTGGGGACACCAGAACAGGTATCTGAAGTTTCTATGTTAGTAATGGAAGTACAATGTCTCTATTATTCTGTTGACCACCTCCGTGGTGTAGTGGTTAGAGCGTCCGCCCGGAGAGCGGAAGGTCGCGGGTTCGATCCCCGACCGCGTCATACCAAAACACGTTAAAATATGGTACTTGTTGGTCCCTGCCTGGCGCTCGGCATTAATTGGTACAACAAGGATTGGTCGGCTCGGAGTCAGTATAACGGTGTCTGAGTTGGGTATTCATGCTTCACTGCGGCATGGTATCTCAGTGGGCTAGCTCAATAAAACCAGCTTAAGTCTGGGCTAGTACAAGCAGCCGCACATACACATACACACGCATGCACGTCGTCATATGAGCGAAATATTCTCAAGCACGACGTTAAACCCAATTTCACCTCACCTCACCTATTATTCTGTCACACACCGTTCTATAGACACATTTACCATACGTGGTATGCTATAAGACAAGGTATCCACCAATCTCCCAGCTGTCTTTTCGTATGTAAGTGCAGTCGGCAAGTATTACGTCTAGCGTTGGACCTCCCATGAACACACACCCCACCCCCCAACACACTAAGCCTGCTGTACTACTTTTCGATGTTTCTCGTAATACTCGTAATGTTATTTGTAGTGACCAATAATCCAGGTGAGGTCGAGAACATATTGGCGAGATAATTGGGTGCCCACAACCAATGTATGTGTCAACGTGGTCAACATCTCTGGGGGTTGCATACTACCCATCTTTTATTCCTTAGAGCTAAACATATTTATGTGCAACAAAGTACAGTGTGAGATAATTTATTCCTGAAATTAATAGAAAGGTGAGTGTGGTGAAACGTCGTACTTAAGAATATTTCGCTCATATGACGACGTGCATGCGTGTGTATGTGTGGCTGCTTGTACTAGCCCAGACTAAGCTGGTTTTATAGTGCTAGCTCACTGAGATGCTATGCCGCAGTTAAGCATGAATACCCTACTCAGACACATTATACTGACTCCGAGCCGACCAGTCCTTCTTGTACTCATTAATGCCGAGCGCCAGGCAGGGAACAACAAGTACCATATTTTAACGTCTTTGGTATGACGCGGCCGGGGATCGAACCCGCGACCTTCCGCTTTCTGGGCGGACGTTCTAACCACTACACCACGGAGGCAATAGTACATAAATAGGGACTCGTTTGAATACAGACCTCTTGAGACTATCGCGTAATATTGAATCTTGTTTGGTTGGTTGGTTGTTGTTTAACGCCGTACTCAGCAATATTCCAGCTATATGGCGGCGGTCTGTAAATAATCGAGTCTGGACAATCCAGTGACCAACAGCAACAGCGTCGATCTACGCAAATAGGATACGATGACATGTGTCAACCAAGTCAGCGAGCCTGACTATCCGATCCCGTTATATAGTCGCCTCTTACGACAAGCATGGGTTACTGAAGACCAATTCTAACCCGGATCTTCACGGGTACAATACGTAATCTGAATTCAGACGCTTAACAAACTAACAATGCACAGCATGATCTTGAACTACCGTCCAGAGGACCTGCTCCTATTGGGTGTGCGGGTTGTAGTTTTGTCTTGCATTGTCCTAAACTGTTCTGTGTGTTTTAGGGGCGCTGGGGAAGCCTAGTTGTTAAGGCGTTAGCTAGTCACGCCGAAGACCCGGGTTCGATTCCCCACATGAGCACAATGTGTGAAGCCCATTTCCGGTGTCCCCCGCCGTGATATTGCTGGAATATGGCTAAAAGCGGTGTGAAACCAAACCCACTCACTCTGTGTTTCCTATTTTTTCAGGTGCATGCATTTTTCAATGAACTTTTTCCTTTTAAAGGCGTTTGACACATCTTGTCAGTACAGAGAATGTGTCAACTCAAGAGCTAACGCACCGCACACACTCAAGAGTAAGGCAAACGATATGCCTCCCCTCTTGTTTCAGTGATTCAAGACGTTGAATTTCAACTAATCCATGAAACGCTCAGAAAATATGTCTGAGGTTTTACAAGACGCAAAGCGTTTCTTAACACGTAAAGACCTAACCCATTCTACTTAACATTGCCCACGTAGCATGAAGACAATTCCTATGTGTACATGTACTATAGATAGTATGTAGACCTTTGGACACGGACTAGACGTCACATTTCGTTTCGGAGGACGCCTACATACAACTATTTCTTAAGAGTCATGAAAAAACGACTTTAGTGGTTCACCCAAATTATCTTCCTCCAAACTGTAAAAAATGACAATCGTATGGGAAGCATGTTCATGAAAGCAACTTGAAAGATTAGCGCGAAAGTGAATTAACACATTCGTGCAGAAGCAAGGATAAATCGAGCTTAGTGACAAGCACCTGCTTTATATACCAACAAAGTCGGTTCCATGCACTGTAGGGATGGTAGGGTGTGTACGTGTCTCATTAGGTTTTGATAAGACAACATTACTCATATCATGTTTCCTGCTGTGAGGTAACACTGTTAGAAATGACACTGTCCATTGTGAGACGTGATAGTTCTTGTCACCACCACGCTGGGCTCATATGAGACATACCCCGTGAAAATTGGGGTTAGAAGTGGTCTTCAACGACCCATGGTTGTCGTAATAGGCGACTAACGGGATAAGGTAGTCTCTCTCCAGGGGCGGATACAGCTTTTTGAGAAAGGGGGGGTGCACACTATTGAGAAAAGGAGGGGTGCACACTTCATGTTCACCCGAGTTTCAATGGTCATTTAACAAACTTTCAGCACAAGAGGGGTGGGGGGTTGCGCACCCCTGGAGCCCCCTCTGGATCCGCCTATGTCTCTCCGAGAACATATTTTAAAAGAAGCTCTACTCGAGAATGTTACGGCAATTTAAGATTGCCTCAGAAATTAAGAATTGCTCTGAGCTTCTTTTGGATCTTCGTTGTTATCAGCAGCAGCAGCAGCATCAACCGCAGCATCGGCTTCAGCATCAGATATATGTGTTCAAAGATAACTTTATTATCTGGGACTAATTGTCAGTCCGGGGATCGGGTGGTCAGGCTTGGTGACTAGGTTGATGCATGCCATCGTATCCCATCGTATATTGATGCTCGTGACGTCAGTCACTGGATTGTCCCGATCTCATTGGTTGTTTTTTACTGGTTGCCGTTATATAGCCGAAATGCTGCTGATTTTGGCGTTAAACAACAAAATACATGTAATCCCGGAAACAACAACACAATATGACATTTCAACCACATCATGGTAGCGGGCAACGGGGATGCGAGTCACACATTGTAATCTTGTGTTCGATAAGGACATTTTC